GAAAAGGAATGAAAAACCTCGGAGGTCTTGAAAAAAAAAAAAAAAAAAAGAAAAGAAAAGAAAAGAAAAGAAAAGAAGACACCTTGAGGGTGCCCTGGTTCATGAAAGCCCCGGCTGTCCTATGTGTGAAGGCTTTGATTCATTGTGGTGTCTAGTTTATAAAGACTTCCTCGTCTCTTATTAGAACTTTCCAATTGGACAATTCATTCATTCATTTTTTTTCAGAGTTACCTTCATTTCTACAAGCAAATGTGTTCTTGGGCTGAAAAACATAAGAGCTAAGCAGTATATGCCATGGATTCGAATTGAGATGTCCAAACAGATCTGTTTCAGTCCACATGTGCCAGGCACTGCTGACCCCCACAGCTAGCTCTCTAAGCACAAGTGGCAGGATTAACGAAATCAAGATGGCTCCACTCAAAAGGCACTAAGCCACAATTGTCCAGGGTACTAGAAGCTGTTTACATGGTTGCTGCAGAAAATATTCAGACTCGTAGAACTGTAGCAGAGGCAATGCTAGTCTAAGCTGAAAAAACAGGACAATATTCAAAACTAGAAACTGAGGACTGGGCTGGGGTGCAGAGGCAGAAGGAAGGAGAGTGACTTGGGGACAGAATCACCATCCATCACCATCCATCCCGGGGAAGAGATTTTAGGAGGGGAGAGATGAGCATGCTCATGGACATGTTCTGAGGAGGACCAAGGAACTTTTTTTCAAAAAACAGTTTTTTAAAAATTCCCACAGGGCACATGCACTTGCCAGAGAGAGAGAGAGAGAGAGAGAGAGAGAGAGAGAAAGGGGGTGCGGGAGAAAGCACCCCTCCAATGGGGTGTGATCATGCTGTGATCCATGAAAATTTCTTATAATAAATACTGTATCTATCTCAAAAAGCAGCATTCAAATACCAGTATCATAAGCCATTATCATCCTGAATTTTAATCTCAATAAGAAAAACATTAAGAAAAATATGTCTCAGATTTTGGCTTAAGAAAATGTTTGGGGGAAAAGAAAACTATAGCCAGTATGACACACCTCATTACCCCTCAACACCCAATCACATAGATGACAAAACTTCTACCTAACTATAGGCAGCGCTGTCTCTCATATCAGAAACAACTGAATTGAGCTGGCAGTTGGGTCAGCTTTTAAAGGAAATTCTGATAGCTAAAGAAAAAAAAATTTCTGAAACATTAGTAAGCATGTAATACCACACCTTCTATATATGAGGACATGTTTTCTGCCACGTGCAAATTCAGCTGTTTCATCCACTGTCCCATGAAACAAGTTTTATATGTTAACACTAAACTTGAAACATTCGCAACCTCACTGTGCCAAGGGTACCTAAGGAATTCTTGGTGTTTAAGCTTCTTAAAAGAGCTGAAAAACCTAAAGAAGATTACTTTTTCCAACGATTAGAAGTTGCTTCTCTTATCCCATCAAAAAAAGTGATGTTTTAAAACTAAAATGGGAGCATTTTACATCCTGATATGTCCAGCACATCTGAAGGATTCCTGAGTTTTGTGGACCTTAAAAAAAAAAAAAAAGCTGTATAATCTGAAAAGGCTTACTTGCTTCAAAGAGGTCAGAGGTATTTCCCTCCTGTTATCTAAGCTCAAAATTGGATTCTCTTTTACCTACCATCTGGCACTGAGATCCCACATCAAGGCCGGTGGCAGTAGAGGTGAAGGCTGTGATTTCTCTTTGTACATCAGGGTTTGAAAAGTTGGGAAGGCATAGACTGCTAGACAAGGTGACTCTACCCTTAACCTTTCTGTTATCAACCTTCACCTTCTGCCTTCACCAATGCTAAATAAGAGTCTTTCAGAAATTTGTTTCCTATGAAATTTTAATACAGACATGCTGTATAGCTGTGTATGCACTGCATGTATACCTGTGCTTTATATAGCAAGAGTAAAACTTTTCCATGCCGTATGAACCAATTTTCTCCTGTTGAAAATGTATGTCTTAGGGCCAGCAGTTGGCATGGTGGTTAAAGTGCTGGACTCCCACATGGCTGACCATGGTTCAAGTCTTGGGCCTGGCAGCTTGAAAATCATGACAAGCACGTGTGCATGCATGCCCAAAATCCCAAGAGGAGAATGTAGATGGGATTACAACATGGCCATCCCCCCAGGAGTTGATTTCTCACTTTCCCCTCACTCCCTGTCTCTCTCCTGCAAGTACATGCACTCTATGGCAAAAACCTTAAAAAACAAGAAAAGAAAATGCATGTCTTAAACCACAGCTACAAAAGCACAAGCCTGCATTTGATTGTTCATGATCAGAAATCCCTAGATCAAGAGTGATTTAGCACCCTTCAGTTGAAACAATTACAGCTGAGTCATTTTCAAAATAAAAAGCTTATACAATATAAAAAGCTTATATCATCTGTGAAATACATAAAATTGGGCAAAATACTGCCCTTTTTTTCCTTTGCTGTCATTACTCTCAGCTCATTCAACTCTACTACATGCTTGCTCATAGAACCAAAGGTTTGATTCCTGGGTTTGATTACTTTTCCAGAAGCAAAAAAGCCCAAAACAACCTTTGAGAAAATCTTTTTCTGGAAGGTGGCAACAGGTAATTTGCAAAACCAGATGCAAAATGTCTGTAGAAAGCACTATAATTTTCAACTTTCAGAAGAAATAAACTAACCTTTGCTGCTTATAAACAACCTAAAAATAAATGACCCACAAAGTTATCTGTGACATAAAAACCCATCAGTGCTTCACTAGAAAACCATTGTGTCATCCCCATATAGTATGTGTGTTGTGATGAGAAAAGAAAAAAAAAATTATAATAATAATAAAAAAATGTAATAAAAAAAACTCTGACGTAAAAAAAAAAAAAAAAAAAAAACAAGAAAAAAGAAACCCTAACACAAAAACTCCCAGCATCTTCAAATACTCGTGGCAAGAAGCTTAATAAGCCTGAGAAACAGAACAGTCACTCACAAAGGCAGGATACATCCTGTCCGCTACTAGGAGTCTTCTGCATTTTTATACTGTTTCAAAAATAGTAAGGCCAAAGAAAGTCCTCTGCATAATCCAATAAAAAGAATCTTCACCACATTAAAAATTGAGCTCACCTACCTTCACTGGTCCTTGTTCATTACTGGAGCCCTGCACCAGCTGTGCGTAAGACATCATGAAAATATTCACCACTGCCCACTCTCTGTACATTTTGAATATTTTAATATCCACTGATTACTAAACAGTTGACATTAAGCAGCTAGAGAAAATCGTTGCAAAAGGCATTCTCCAGAGGGAGAGTTCAAAACCCCCAAACTTCACATGGAAAAACAAATAATCAGTGCTGATCAAAATCCAATCAAATGACTCCAATTAGGCAAGGTACGTTTTTTGGTACAATCTTGGGGGTGAGGTGGGGTGGAGAGAGATGAAAAAAAATTTAAAATGTACCCATGCTCCAAAAATTGTCAGGAGGTAGACATGTCTTCTGTCTGAAATCAGCACTCTAAATTCATTTCATGTCCAGCAAATGAAAAAAACAATCTCTCCACCCTAGGCACTGGGTTCTAGTTGCTTTGTAAGGAAGTGGTACAGCCACCAGTGCTTGCAGCTACAGAGAGCTGGAACGCGACTCTGGATTAAAACTTTTTTCACAGCCTTCATGGAAGTTTGCAGACGCATGTGTCTTCAATCTGACACAGATTTTGGCAGAAGATACAGGGGAGTCTTGGCTGCAATTGTGTTGTGTCCCTACCAATAGCAGGGCAGTTTGGAAGACTGACTCAAATGCTCAGAGCTGCTGTTATTTAAAAGCAGATAACCTGTAACATGAAACCGCAGCACACAGTCTTGATGGAAGGGATCTCAGACGCTCATGCGTCTACTGCCTGTGACACGTGGAAAGCAATCAAATATGCTTTTAAAACCCTGAACATCACAAAAATAACGATACCCATACTGCACAAATGAAAAGGCAAACGTTACATAAAACGATTTTTAAAGAAAACATTAGTGGATTAGGTCAAAATGAAGAACACTGATTTTTAAGGAAGCAACGATTAGGTTTATTTGCATGTGCCAGGTAACATCCTATGTGCATTGCTACAAAAATTGTGTTATCACTTTAATGTGGAATTCTTAGGAAATGCTGGCTTGGTCAGCTTTAGAAATTGAATGCCTTGAATGGTTGGATGTCACAAAGAGCAAAATTCTAAGAAACTGTGGAGATCTGCTCTTGTGTTCTTTACTAGTTCCCGATCTTTGACTTCCAAGTTCTGGCCCTTTCAAACCTATTTTTGGCATTTCTGAAATCAAGAATAGCCTGAGAAATCTCTTCATTGGTGTTCATCACAAACGGACCTATGGTAGAAAAAGACATTCAGCAAGTTCCAGGTGACAATATTTTCTTCTATCACTCAAAGTGGCATGAGTTTTTGTAGTTCTTAATTTGAAACAAAATCCAGTAAGATCTAAACAGTAAAAGTCTATTTTCGCAGCATTCTGTCCCTAAGGACTACAAGATGAGTTTCTTGACCAGGCTTGTGTCTGATTATAAATGAGAAGAACTAAGGTTCATAAAAATGAATGCAACTGCATCTCATCCATCTACTGCAGGTTCCTCAGCAGCAGCAGTCTCTTTATTCAAAATACTCTTAGATTTGCAGTTATTATTTTTATAACATTAGCTGCTGGCAAAAACGGAACCAACCTACTACAAAGAGCTGGCAGCTCTCATCATAATTTTGATATCTAAGCAGATTATGAGGCTTTATTCTTATATGAGGGGTCTAAGTCATTTTCAAAAAGTAAGTACTACCTCATTGACAATAAACAGGAGATTAAAAAATTTCAAGTCGTTAATAATAACAATTTTAAAAATTAAAATAATAAAAAAGAACACATCACAGGTCCAGGTGTGGTGGCACAGGTTGTAGTGTGCCACTGTGAAATGCTGGAACCATATGAGAAGGCCTGGTGTTTAAAGCCTGAGGCAACCTGAACATGCTAGAAGTGCCCATGGGCACACTTACAATCTTGTCTGGCTGAAAGGTGGTGGAGGGGGATGACATAGTAGGATAAGACCTATCTAGGATGCCTGTCTGTCTCTCTCTTTCATAAAAGAAAAAAATAAATAAACTGAAAGAGATAGCATCATACTTTGGATTCTCTAGCAGTTGGCAAACTTTTTCAGTAAACGGCCAGACAGTATATATTGTAGATGTTGTGGGTCACACAACTACTCCTCCTAAGGTGCAAAAGCACCATAGACAGTACAAAAGTTAAAAAACAAAAACAAAACAAAACAAAAACATATACTTGTATTACTTAGAGGGAATAACACATTATTAACCATTATTAGCATATGAACATAGAGTTGGTGGTCACTATAATTTAAAATCTGAGAAGGAAGACATAGGATAATGTACCTTGATAATGTTGAGGCCCTTGGGGAATTTGTGGGGAATTGAATGTCATAAGAATGGAAAGTCCAGCAGAAGGCATATAAATTCATTCATTCATTCATGTACCTATCTATTAAGTACTGAGTGCCATTAAATGACACTGTGCTAGGAGCTAGAGACATAAAGATGAAATGAATGACAGGCTCTCACCTCAAGGGCCCTCAAATCTATTATACCGACAGATACAAAAACAAATCATAACAAAACAGTGTGAATCATGGAATGATAAAAGTATGTAAAATCCATAGAATCATCATAGAAAGGGAAGAAGGATGGGTCCAGAAAAGGATTCATGGAGGCAGTGAAGTTTGAACAGTCATACGTGGAGGAAAAGCATTTTCAGGACTAGTATGCTAGAAGAATTAATCAGTGCTGGGAGGAGGGAAAAGAACGGGGATCTCATAAGTAGGAGGAAGCCAGATCCTTCTGGGCTTTGGATGCCACCTGTAAGAAGTTTGAACATAATTCTGCAGGGTATCAAGAAATCACTGAAGAGTTAAGTAACATGATCTGATTTGTGGTTTGTTGAGAGGATGAGCATCATTGTAGAGAAGGTGTCTGGCCTGGGAGGATGAGCCGATGGTGGAATTATTAAAATGCATATATTTTTCTCTAATAATGGAGAAATTAAACAAAGTTCTCAGATTTGTAGGTGGAGAGACAGGACAAAAATCCAGCTAGTCTCCCAGTACTACTATACAATTTCATTACTTCAAAGAACAAGAAAAGCAGCCAAGCAAATCCTATTTAGGGCTTACCATGTTGGACAACTGGTTCTCTTAATGGCTCTCCAGCAATTAAGACAAAGTGGCTTCTCTCAGGATCCTAAAATTAACAAAAAAAAGCATTGAACAATAAACATGCTTATTTTTGAATGTCAAATTGGGAACAATTTAAATTTGACTTGCTAGCCAAATGAACAATGTTCAGAATAATAATGTAATTCTGAATAGAAATTCCAAAAACATTTTTTGTGCAATACTCAATATGGAGACATTTATTCTTTAAGATGTTTAGTAGCAATTAGAACTCAAGAATAAGTCAGATCATCAAAATATTAATGCTTTCAAATTAAACATAAAGAAATTAAATTAGAATTTTCTTTAACTGAAAACATCTTTGTGACAAATTAGATAATTGAACTGGCTTATTATAGGGTTTATTATTTTTCACTAACAATATAATTTTTAAAAGAGAAGATTACATATTCAAATCCAAAAACATAATTTTGTTACTTTTGACATTTATTACTATTAATGTAAAATATGCCTCAAAAATTGAGCCTTATAAAAACCAAAGCATCCCAAGGACATCTTTTTAGGCAAATTTTTCTCCATCAGGCCCCTCATTATGTTAACAGCCTATAAAAGTTTTTGTTTAGAATTAAGAATTATTTTCCCCAAACTGGAAAAATACTAATTATAGTATTTAGTGCTAGTGAGGATGCAAGAAAAGATACACTTTCACGTATTGTTTGGGAGATTTAAGTTGGTACAGTGGTCCTTCCAGAGAACAAATTGACAATATGACTCAAAACCCTAAATATTGCTGATGTCCTCTGATCCAGTAAGGCCATATTTAGTAATATGGGAATAATCAGTTTCACACAATTTCTTCATTGTAGTGTGATTTAGCACTGCAAAAATTAGAAACAGTTGAAATAATGATGGGTTGGTTTGATGATTGTGATATCTTTGTAAGATGAAGTTTTATATGGCTGTAAAAATTCACTTTCTCAAAAAATATCTAAATGTGCAATACAATGTTCATATGTATTTTAAAGTGTCACAAATGGTATAGGTAGTATGATTTTCACTTTTAGGGAAATCAAAAAGAACCATGTATTTAAAAGTTAGGAAAGAAACATACCAAAACATCAGTGTTGGTTATTTCTGAATAATGGGAATTTAGGGAGATTTTATTTTATTCTTTATGCTTTTCTGTATTTTAAAAATATGACTGCAATAAATGTGCTAATTTTAAAAGTTCAAAAGAAACATAAAATATATATATTCTGAAGTTTGTGTTTGGGGAATCACTTTATAATCATATGCATTTCAGGATTAATAATCAGTAGAGGGACCAGTAGATGGCATAATGGTTATGTCACTGGACTCCCATGTAGTTGACCTCAGTTCAAGTCCTGGACCTAGAAACTTAAAACTCACACTGGGTGTGTATGCATGGATGCCTAAAATCCCAGGAGGATAATGGAGGAGAAAGGATTGTGGTGTGGCCATTCCCCTTGGAGGATGATTTCTTGCTTGCTGTCTCTGTCTTCTTTCTCTCTCTCTCTCTCTCTCTCTGGAAGCACATGTGCCCTATAGCAAAAATCTCTCTTAAAAAAAAGTAGATCATTTTGTTATAGAATATTATTTAAACATTTCAAGCAATCAACATGTTATAACTGTAAGAGTTTACATAGAAAATCTTAGGAAAAATATGTTTTGAGTTTTCCAACAACCCAGTAGATCTACTTCCAGATGGTGCTTTGTGCTCTGGCAACTTAGTTAAATTGGAACATGGTGAGTAGATGGCAATAGAAGGAGGAGACAGAGGTTCTGGTAGGTTCCAGCTCCTCCTCCTCCATGCATATCCAGCTCTTCTTCCAGACTGCTCTACCAGGACTGGCTAGGCAGAACATGAATTCTGAGTGGTAAGGCTGTGGATAAGAAATAAACATAACAACAAACACACAAAGACACATGAGTATAGAAAGCAAGGATCGAGTGGGCCCAACTTCTCTGATGGAGAAAGCCATGACCTCGAACCACCCTCAGGTTTATTATTTTATAGGGCAGAAAATGAAGGAAGAGGAAATGGAATGCAAAGCCACTTGCTTTGGGATGTAAATCATCTGAACATGCGAAAAAGACTGATGCCATGTAATTTCTCTAATCTTTTTGAGGTGAAATCTGATAAACACATGTGGCTTCTTTTAGCCTAATACTGCTCTGTGTTACCAGTATCAACAACAGGCAGATAGTGTTTTCGTATGCAAATGACTTCATAGCCAGGCAAATAAAGCTCACAGAAGCTCCTTTCTGCCTATAAAGGTCATCATGTTTGCTCAGATTGGCCACTCTCCACACTGCTCACCTTGTTGACCAATACTAGTTGAGACCCACCCCCAAATACAAGGCTCCGGGTCTACAGACTTCTCCACTAGACTTCACCCATTCCCCTTTTGTGGCCTCATTCAGTGACTGAATGTGCTTCCAGATTAACTGCAGTTGACTTTTAACCTTGGTACTTATGGGCAAATTTGCTAATTCATGAGGCTTAAGACCATCTCATCAGGATATTAACACAAACATGGGTTTAAGGTAAGTTGGAGCCCTTCATATCAAACTCATGTGCTCCTGATCATGAAACTATCAACAACCATCACTCAGTCTTGGCCAGCCTGGACCATGGGCACATGCATGCACACCTGGCATGACCAGGGAGTTACATGTGAGTTCAGCTGTGCCACTGCTTCACCACTGCCTGGTCCCTAAAAACTCAAATCTAGCATAACCAATCTCCCTGCAATTGCCACGCACCATTCAAAATCATGGGTCACAAAAGGCAACCTACTCTCTGAGTGTGGAAGTCAGGAGTCCCTGCAGGCTGACATAGGCTGGCTTGAGATGGATCTAAAATGCTAATTTGTGTGAGGAAACCTGGAGTAGCGAGAAGGCATGGTCTTCTCTGTCATCTCTTCCTTGCTCTCTTCTCCTGCCCTAGAGATTAGTCACTGTAGAGTAAACTGCACGCACTACTGGTGAATCAGGAAGCTGGGCATATGATGGGGGAATGGAAACAAGGAGTGGTGACAGCTCAGAAAGAACAGAGCCAGAAGGAATCCAGGGAGTAAATCAGCTCTTCTTTTTTGTTTTCTTTTTTTCTCTCTTTCTTCTCTTTCTTTCCTTTTCTTTCTTCTTTCTCTTTTCCTTTTTTTTTAATTGTTAAGAGGGCAAGTGTGTTCACCAAAGAGAGACAGAGACAGAGAGACGGGGGGAGAAAGCACCCATTAATGGGGCATTGTTATGCTACAATCTTCTCCATTTCTCTATCTTGTTGGGGTTTGGACATGCACTCACATGCATTCAGCGTGTTTCTCAAGCTTTCAGGGTCAGGATTCAAACCACAGTTGGCTATGTGGGATCTGATTCCCTTAGCCACTAGGTTATGGGGTCACTTGTGCTCCTTATTCTTGACCACAGCTTAGTGCAAATGGGATTAGGGGCAGATCAGAAAGACACATTTTCCTTCTTAGTCAAGTCTTTGGGCTAAGGTTAGTTCCAAGTGAGGATAACCCTGGCTTGAAGTCTGAGTGAGTCAGGGATCTTTAGGCCTTCTTCCTGCTGCAGAAACTATTGGATTGTCAGAAAAGTCATGACATATTTTTTCTATGCAAAATGTGTCATGACTTTTCTGACAATCCACTATATGCTCTGAGCCTTTGGGCCTAAGGTATAAATCTTCATTAGGCATATGAATCTCTTAAGACTATCTACTCAATGAGGTGTTTAGATTAGTGAACTTCCCAGCTGCCACTATTAGGCACCCACAATAATACTAGACTGGAGATCGACAAAATTTTCTGTAAATAGCCATAGAATGTTAGGTTTTGTGGGTCATCCAGTCTCTGTCATAGCTACTCAATTCCATGTTTTGTGGTGTGAAAGAATCCATAGATAATACATAAACTAAGGGGTGTAGATGTGGTCCAAGAAACTTTATTTATGAAAACAAGTATGTATTTGGTCTATTGGCCCCCTATCCTAGATCTATACATAATCTCAAATAATCTTCCTTATAATTCCAGGCAATTTGCATCATCATTTCAGTTTTGCAGACAAAGAAACTGAAGCTCAGAGAAGTTTAGGAACATGTCCAAAATCACATAGCTAAGTGACAAGAGGCCAAGCTAAGATTCATATCTTTGCAATTTCTTTTCAGTTGTAATCTAAGGGAACCTGTCTATATTTCTCTGATGTAAGTGACAATGACCTTTCTTCTTTTTTTTTTTTTTTTGAAAGGATTTTTTTGCTATAGGGCATGTGCACTCACCAGAGAGACAGAAAGTGAGAAATCAACCCCCAGCAGGATGGCCATGCCACAATCCCTTCTCCTCCATTCTCCTCTCAGGATCTTGGGCATGCACACACGCTCGGCATGAGTTTAAGCCACTGGGTCTGGGATTTGAACCGCTGTCGACTACATGGGAATCCAGTGACATAGCCATTACGCTAACTGCTGGTCCCAACCTTTATTTACATATAATGCTATTTCTTTATATGTAGATTTTTGTTTCCATAGAAATCTTTCAAGGTTGTTTGTTTGTTTGTTTGTTTGTTTTTGAGAGGTTTTTGCTATAGGGTGCATGTGCTCACCAGAAAGACAAAGAAGACAGAGAGAGAGAAAACGAGAAATCACCCCCCTCCCCAGAGGGGATGGCCACACGGCAATCCCTTCTCCTCCATTCTCCTCTCGGGATCTTGGGCATGCACACACACACGCCCGGCGTGAGTTTAAGCCACCGGGTCTGGGACTCGAACCGCAGTCGGCTACATGGGAGTTCAGCGACATAGCCATTACGCTAACTGCTGGTCCCAATCTTTCTAAGGTTTTGATGGCTCAGGCTATGCTTACACACATAATTCCATATACACATAGCAAGATGATGCCTCTGGAGCCAGGAGTACTGCTTGCCAATGAGTTGATGGTTTCAGTCAACTCTTTTCTATCCTAGCTGCCCTATGCCTTTCTGGGTCCTCTCTTCTTTCTGATGATCTGTTTTAGCTTCCAAACCTTTATTATCTGCAATGTGCTTTTTGATATATTATAGGAAGAGCTAAGGTTGCCCAGTTTAACTAGATAATGTTACAGATGAATCTGATATCAGTAGGCTGTGGTCTCCATGTAGCTTTTATGCCTCCTTCCTGTACTGGATTGAAATATATGAAACTATTATTTTTGTAGGTCAAAAATGGTACTTTCATATGTTTCCATCTAATATTGAAGGACGGAGATTCTGTGATATACATTTTTCTGGTGCTCATGAGATCTTTTTTCTGTTTACTTCACAGTTCGCGGTGATACTGCAGATGATTAAAGCAGTACTAGGTGAGTTGCCAGCAAAGTGGACTAAAATAGACTAATACTGCCAAAACACTGCATTCTCTAGTCCCAAGGCCAAAGGGCAGAAGTAAGTCAGACTGCTTCCCCACCAGTCACCTGCATACTGAAATAGTTTTCATCCCTGCTTTTCAAAATTCATCTTTCAGGAGCCTTTGCACAATCCTCTTTATTAGAATAGCACAAAATGGATTGGCTTAGCAGACTCACAGATTATCCAAGGGAATAAGATAGACACAAGAAAGGAACTTGGAAACTTGGAAATAAACCCTCCCTGGACTCCTAAAATATCAAAAATTCTACTTCAAAAGAAAGAATTCATCACAAAAGGACTATGGTCCTCCTGGTTTAAAATGGGGATTACTTGCAAAGGACTCTGTGAGTATGCATGCACATCTATACTCTGCTTCTAGAGTGCTGATTCATTTTCATTTACGCTAAAAAGAAAATAAATCAATTATATAAAGCAATAAAACTAAGAGACAGTAAAGATGTGTTGCCTTCAGACTCAAATTTCTGGAGGTCAAAAAATAGGGACTTTACATGATGCTTGAGGATAAAGAATCAATAAAACTTGAAAATATACCGATAGAAATAGAGGGAATTCATGAAAAGGACTGATAAATTTGCAGCAACATTTCTTTACCAAGGAAAAGAAAAAAATTTCTTACTCTAAAAGAGATGTAAGCATTGTTTCTAGAAACTATTAGGTTGTTGGGAAAGTCATGATGTACTTTTTTATGCAAAAATGCATTATGACTGGGAACCAGCAGTTAGCGTAATGGCTATGTCGCTGGACTCCCACGTAGTCAACTGCGGTTTGCGTCCTGGACCTGGTGGCTTAAAACTCACGACAGGCGCGTGTGTGTGCGTGCCCAAGATCCCGAGAGGAGAATGGAGGAGAAGGGATTGCGGTGTGACCATCCCCCCTGGGGGGTGATTTCTCACTTTCTGTCTCTATGTCTCTCTCTGTCTGTCTGGCGAGCGCACGCGCCCTACAGTGAAAATCTCTCCAAAAAAAAAAAAAAAGCATTATGACTTTCTCAACAATCCAATTTAGAAAGTACAAGTTGAGAAATTAAAGGCTTTTTAACACTTACCTTGTTCTCCACCTGGACACTGTCACCCTCCCCGAGCACTGCAGTGTGATGAGGTTCTATTTTCTGTTGTGCAGCATCAGGCCCTACAAAAAAAGATGGCCCACCAACTTTGATATTCATAGTACAATTATCATATGTTTATATATTTGGTTAACTACGAAGCACCAGAATATTCATTTAAAAAATAACAGACTTATAAAGCTCCTTAAATAGCTTGTATTTGCTATTATTAAAGTTTGAAACTGCTTGGTTTTCAATGCAGAAAAGAAAACAGAGGGGAATCCTGAATTGTGCTTTCATTTTCCCTTTTTATGTCATGCCCAAATAGTTCTATTGGTAAGCAAAGACTTTGACATTATGTGCTCATAGGATGTTTCTTTGGGTAAACTATAAACTTTATAAAAAGTAAGCATACTTAGGAAAATTATCAAGTGCCATTATTAATGCAGTGTAACAAGTATTTATCGGATATCTACAACTGCTGAGTACTGCAGGAAAATACAAAGCAGATTCCTTTGCATACAAGTAACTTAAAATATCATCAAGCAAACTACACACATAAAACAATCAGAGAATAATCCCATTGAACAATAAGTAAGTGGGAGAGCTACTGAACAATGAGCAAGGCCCTAACTGTTGTGGAGAGTTCTTCAGGAGGGATAAGTTTCCATCTCTTCTATGGAGAGGTTCACAGATGAAATAATGCAATAGAAATGAAATTGCCTCTTAAAGGCAATGATAAGCAAAGTTGAATAAGAAAACAGGGATGGTAGAGGCTCATCCGGTTCTAGAAAATCCAGAAATTTGTTGTGGAGTAGATAAGGCCTGAACAGAGATCTGCAGAATAACACTCACCTACAGAAGGCAAAGCTGGAAAGAAGGACATTCTAGATAAAAGGGCAGATGCTGCTGCAAAGGTAACGTGTGGGCATTTAAGGGGGAACCATCAACCTTCTGCCATTCCTAGAATATTCTTCTGGGAAGAATAATGAAAATGCAAATTGGTTTTAGATTAAGGAAAGCCTCAAAAGCCAAGTTTACCCATATAAAATAGAGAGCCCCTGAGGAAGGTGTGTTTGCATAAGTATTCACAAATGCAATGACATGAATGTATAAGAAAGAAAAGATGGTCAGATCTGTGTCTTAGAGAAATAACTCTGGAAGCAGAGAATGGACTGAGTTGGAGGGAGCAAGACTGAAGGTACGATAACTTGTGATGAATTTGCTGTCCTGGTCTAGGTAAACATGAATTACAGTCAGGGCCAGCAGGTGGTGTGATGGTTGAGGTGCTGGACTCCCACATGGCTAACCACAATTCGAGTCCCAGACCTGGTGGCTTGAGAATCATGCCAGGTGCATGTGCATGCATGCCCAAGATCCCAGGAGGGGAATGGAGAAGAAATTGTGGCATGGTCATTCCCCCTGGGTGTGTGTGTGTGTGTGTGTGTGTGTGTGATTTCTTACTTTCCTACCCACAATCTATCTCTGTCTCTCTCTGATGAGTGCATGCACCCTGTGGCAAAAACCTAAACAAAACAAAACAAAACAAAACAAAACAAACAAAATAAACATAAATTACAGTCTGAATTGGGAGAGTGAAAACAGAAAGATCAATGGATTTCAGGGATGGAGTTAAGAATCTAAAGGATTTGGCAACAGTGGAAGAGAGGAGTCTAACATGATTCTCACCAGGAGCAGAAGGATGTGTTAAGCTGAAGCTTCCAATAGTGGCTCTGCAAGAGGAAACTGCAGAGTGTAGATGCCAAAGTGGACTATAACAGCCACAGGGGGCTGCAGAAGGTGAATGATATTTGGGCAGAGTCTTTCAGTTAGGTAAAACAAAACAAACAAACAAATAGGCATGGATAACAGAAGAAGACGCCAAATTGGGTAAACGGCCCATGATGATGTCAAGGAAGATACATCTATATGGCATTTTGGGACATAAATAAGGGCATTCATTTAACACATTGGAGTTAAGTTTGAATAATCTACAAGAAAAATGCTTATTTAAATGAAAACAATAGCTTGAGGAATTACTATAGAAACAGAAACATGATTTGTGAATTTGGGGCATAAAAGGGACTTCAAAAAGTTCGTGAAAAATGAAATTAAAGTATTAGATAATTTTGGTAAAAAAAAAAAAATTGAAGTCTGGGCTGGTTCTGTTGCCTAGTGATTAAGGGAGCTGGATCTCACATGGCTGACCACGATTGAAATCCCTAGCCCCAAAGCCTTAAGAAACATTGTGGCCACATATGTCTGCATGCCCCAAACCCTGACAGGATGGAGAAATGGAGGAGAAGGGATTGTACTGTGATCATATCCCATGGAGGGGTGCTTTCTCCCCTCTCTGTCTCACATTATGGCAAGCACATGCACCCTTTAGCAATTAAAACAATTAAAATTCATGCATAGTTTTTTCATAATATGCATTTTCTATGCGTCTTTTGAAGACTCTTCATATTGTCTAGAGTCTAAATATAGTTATATATTCTAAAGTCCTACTTCTCACCTCCACTTGGGAAATAACTTCTATGAGGCAGCAGGATTCACTAAGAAGCTTGCAAACATGACATAGGATTCTAATGGAGCAGGAGTATTTAAAATGGTGTCAGTGTGCTCTCTAGGGGTCTGTGGATAAAACTGAAAGTATGTCTAGACTTGGATGGGTAAACAACTGCCTGTTTATTTTCATCGACACCTAATTGAAATATGGCTTTTTAATCAATCATGAATGCAGCCAACAAACCAAAGGGCCAATGACTTCATCTCCACTAGAATCACAAACATTTTCATACCACATTGCAATGTTGTAAATATGTCAAAATACAGTTTATGCTGATCATTACTTAGAATATAGAGTAGACCTGTTGATAGATCATGTTACTTCAAATGTCATTGGAGAAGCACATATATAGCTATATCATAAACTTGTTCTTTTAACATTTTAAGAATTCACTGAATTAAAAAAAAATTATTTGGGGTGAAGAGGTAGGGAGTGGCAGACATCAAAAGGGTCCATGGCACAAAAATGACTAAAGACCCAGAGGCAGTGTTGTGCTGGTTCATGCTAAACTGTCTTTTAGGGAAGAGGGGAAAGAATACACTTGATTTATATACTATGTGTGCTAATTTCTGTGGTGTAAATACTGAAAGCATGGTCAATTTCAAGCCACACACGTGAGGTCTTGCAAGCTGCCAAGAGCTGGCCCCAGCACAACATTGAAGGTTTCTTTTCTGTTAAAGATTTAGGTTAACAGATGTCATGAAAGTGAATGATAGAACTCCACTGATTTTCTACTTACATAGGGATGTGGTGATAGACAAGTCCAGGAGTTAAAGAATCCCATTTAGGGAACCAGCAGTTAGCGTAATGGCTATGTCGCTGGACTTCCACGTAGTCGACCGTGGTTCGCATCCCGGACCTGGTGGCTTAAAACTCATGCCGGGCGCGTGTGCGTGCGTGCGTGCCCAAGATCCCGAGAGGAGAATGGAGGAGAAGGGATTGCGGTGTGACCATCCCCCCTGGGGGGTGATTTCTCGCTTTCTGTCTCTATGTCTCTCTCTGTCTGGCGAGCACATGCACCCTATAGCGAAAACCTCTCCAAAAGAAAAGAAAAGAAAAGAAAAGAATCCCATTTAGCAGTGGGTAATATTTTTAAATGTTACATGGAGTAGCATTTTATCAAGTGTGCTTTACCGAAGTCCCCTGGGAGCAACAAACCATATATTTATCTTCAACTCATTTATATGTGACACCCATTATCCACGTAGTCCGCTCCTGGCCCCTAATTTTGTCATTTAGGATATTTCATTATACATACGCCAAAACAGTTAATAAACCCCTTCACCCTATTTTAATGGAGTGAGCTGACAAGAGACAGTGCTCGAAATAATGTTGAATTGGTATTTTTCTGACCGCCCTATTAAGAGTGGTTTGGTTGACTGTGCTGTTCATTGATCTGTGAGGAAATTTTAATTTAGCAGCAAAGGGTTCAGCTTGTCCAAAGGGCTCTAATCCTAACTTTATACGGAATGTAAGTTCAGCTCATTTTTGCAATCGTAGTGGTGATACTGAAGAAGTCATTTGAAATGTTCCGCCATAAGGCAGACCTTTCTTACTAGACAGTGGAGTCAGGTTTCCGGGTTAATAATAACTGTAAGTATACCTTCAGCTTCTGTATTACTACATGAAATGTTTAAAACAGAGTGACAAAAAGAATGATTCTATCTTCATTTCCAGGTCATATCTATGATAATTCACCCATCTGGTTATCTCCCGCACCTAAAATAAGACTCAAGGAAAATATATCTTATTGTTTCTGACTACTTTCAATTATAAATAGAGCCAAATCAGATAATGAATAGTTTCCATTGGGAATCTTTGCCAAGAATGCTAAATCTAATGGTGCCGTTAAGGAAAATTTAACTGAAAACAATATAACTGCAAATATTTTGTTTTGCCTAAACAGTTGTAAAAGGGCACCATAGTTTAAGCCCTATTTTAAGGTCAGTGCAGCATCTTCAGCCAGTGATGATCCCGGGTGTTTGTGCACCTCCCTCAAGGTATTCACCATGGAATTAAGAGCACCAGTCCACTCAGTTGGAGAAGTGGAAGTCAATTAAGAGGGCTTCTGGTGTACATCTGTGTTTCCCCAACTTCTTTTTACTTCGTAAGACGGAGAGAGTGTGGGAGAAAGGGGGAAGGGACACAGAGTTATAGGTATTTTGGACAGGATCTTGCCAGTGTCATGATCCTTTTGCCCCAGTCACCTAATTAGCTAGTATTACCAAACCAGGGCCTCCCATGCAGCTTCCAGCCTCCTAAGCAGGCGCTTATCCTTTATTGTAAAACCCAGGAACCATGTTAAACTTCTTAATACCACCCAGAACCATAAGTAAACAGTTACGTACAAACTAAGCAAGAATCATTATTTATTTGAATAAGTCTGAAACATTTTACAGCCTTCATAAGCCACTTAGCTTTCATTTCAATAACCATAGACAAATGGTTTTAGATTTCCAAACACACTTTCTTTTTCTTTTTTTTTTTTTTTTGGAGAGTTTTTTTTTTTTTTTTTCTATAGGGTGTGTGCGCTCGCCAGAAAGACAGAGAGAGACAGAGAAACAGAAAGTGAGAAATCACCCCCCAGGGGGGATGGCCATGCTGCAATCCCTTCTCCTCCATTCTCCTCTCAGGATCTTGGGCACGCACGCACACGTGCCCGGCATGAGTTTATGCCACCAGGTCCGGGACTCAAACCACGGTCGACTACATTGGGAGTCCAGTGACATAGCCATTATGCTAACTGCTGGTCCCATCCAAATACACTTTCTAAGCACTGACAGTATACTTGATATTGGTCCTTCCAGGGACCCAGCATTCAAACCTATAAACAATATCAAGCTTCAAAGATACAGAACACAGTCTCCCCTACCCTTTAGATCTCTGCATTAATGTGCGATATAATTTTCATTACTGATGCAGGGAAGGGATTCATTGTTTTTTTGTGGGATCTACTGGTTTTCTGACCATGTAGTTTTCATTTTCTTTTGATTTTTCTTTTTATCATATGCTGCACAGATCCCAGCCAAGGGCTAGTCAAAGGACTTTTTGCCTCAATAAGTGTTGTCAACGGTCTCAGTCTCTTTCTGTCTCTCCCCCTTAACCCTAAACAATTTTAAAGCTATTATTCAACAGCCATCTTAGAAGGCTCTCCATTGTTGAAAAAAGCAAATGTATCAAACATTAAAAATCCTAAAAAAAATTAATACTTTCAAATGATCTCAAATGAAAAATTTATTTTAGTAAGAAAATGCTCATTCCCCTCATCTCATTTTAGCTCTGTTAACACCTTCTCTTCTCCAGGGCATCATTACTTACCTTGAACTTTAAATGTCTAACTTTGACAACTTTGACAAAGTTAGATGTCCACTATTTTCTAAAGTTCAAAACTTCAACAGTCTCTAGTCAAACTAAATCTGCTAATGCCCATCCTTTAAGCACTGCTTGTATCAATTAATGTTTAAATAGACCTCCTAAATTTCCATTCTATGCCGTCTCCCTAGATCATCTTCTCAACCCAAATTGCAGCCTATTTATTCTAGCCCAATGAACTAAGTACATATATTTATAACATCTACTTCGACAGAACAGTGATGTTTCACATTTTGAAAAAGGCAATTATTTGCGTATCAATTCCTGCTCTCTGTGTTTGGTTGGTGCCATCCTAGTTTTTTATAAGAAAGATAAAATCGAGATAGTCATGTCAGAAAGCATTTTCTGAATTCTCTGTAGATTTTATAAGTCAGTACACATTCAAAAGCTATTTCTATTTTGTCATTTATTTTTCTCTGGTGATTTGTTCTTGCCCTTTTGTTTTTCTCATTAACACCCCTATTAGGGGGTGGGTGAGAAGAAGGGAAGGCGATAAAATTCAAATGAGGTCATTTGGCCAGTTACTCATTGGTTAAGGCTGAGTCCTAAGAGGCCAATTTTGTGAGCTGAATTCTCTCCATGGTCCAGTTTACTCTGGACAGGTGCAATTTTGCTCCAAGGCTACTGACCATAACCCTATCTCTTGCCAGATGTTTTCTTCTTATGGCCCATGGTCATAAGGAGAGACAAGGCCAGTGAGTTCAGATGACTCAGGAAAATCCTGCCTGACCTCAAGAAAAACAAGTGAATGGGCAGGTCACTCTTGTCCTGAGAATTGTCGAGCTTTTAACTTGCTGAGTTCTTCAACTAAAGGCCTATCTTGAAATAAAGCTGTAACTAATGCTTTTAAAAGGTTTTGAAGGGTCAGCAGATGGCACAGTGGTTAAGGAGGCTGGATCCCACACAGCCATTTGTGTGGTTGAGTCTGGACCTGAAGGCTTAAAAAACACACCAGGACATGTGCATGTGTTTCCAAAATCCTGAGAAGATAAAGGAGGAAATGGTATTGTAGAATGGCCATTTTCCTTGAGGGGCGAGTTCTCTTTTTCTCTCTGTCTCTGTCTCTCTAGTGAGTAGACATACTTTATAAACCAAAAAAAAAGGGGGGAGTGAAGGGTCCAGACAGTGGTGCAGTGGTAAAATGCAATGCTCTGTGGGGCAATCCCATGCTGGAAGGTTCTTGATTCAAGTCCTGAGACCTCGCTCAACCTCGCTCTATACATTGGGCACACATATACCTGTGATCCAGAGCTGGCTGGGGCTTGGAGTGGAGTATGGTGTTGGGATTCTGTTGGGGGGGGGGCGTGCTGTCACTCTCTCTCTCTGTCTCTCTTTTACTTGTGGAATAAATAAATAAACTTTGGGGGGAAAAAGACAGCTTTTGAAGATTACCTGTTAAGTTTTGTCCCATATCCTGTACAATATCATTTAAACCAGAATCAACTGAAATTCTGTAGACTGCTCAGGCTAATGAAAGGTTTTTACTTGTTTAATCTTTTATTTTTATACTTTTATTTCATTATTTTAAAAAATATTCTACAGGGCATGTATGCTTGCCAGAAAGAGAAAGAGAGAGAGAGAGGGAGGGAGGAAGGGAGAGGGAGAGAGAGAGAGAGAGGGAGAGGGAGAGGGAGAGGGAGGGAGATGGAGAGAGAGAGAGAAAGAGAAAGCGCCCCCTGGGGGTGGTCATGTTGCAGTCCATTCTCCTTTATCCTCTCATGAATTTGGGCATGTACACACAAGTGCCTTCCACACTTTTAAAGCCACTGGGTCCAGGACTTGAACCATGCAATTGGCCATGTGGGATCCAGCTGCATTAACTACCCAACACTGGCTGGCCTGGTTTTTACTTCTTTAAAGGGTAAAAAATAAAACGTTTTTCATGAAAAATATCTAAAATTCCCATTTCAGTGGCCTTTAATAAAGCTTTATTGGAACAACTGCTCCATCTGTTACACATTATCTGTGGTTGCTTTCACACTATGGCAGGCAGGTCTAAGTAGCTGCAGATTACAGTGAGACTACCGTGCCTGTGAACATAAAAATATGTCATCTGGCCCTTGCCACAGAGTTTGCTTCCCTCTGCTTTTTCTCAATCTACACAAACTTTTCTGCTATCCTTACCACCTCAGAATTCATGTGCTTTCTTTATTACTTTCCATTTGCGCAGATTATATTATTGCTCTTGAAATCATTAATTAGGAATGCTACCTCCATAAAAATGTAGGTCCTCTCTATTTCTATGAAGTACTATGTGATTCTCAGGATTTGCAGATCATAAAAACAAACAATGTCTCATTTCTTCCAGATGGTTAATATAATTTAATGTGTGTGCACATGGGCTTCTGATACTACTACTACTAGATTTTTTTTTCACACTACCTCAAGTGCTAAAATAAACCAATTTTGCTTTGACCCATAACTGAAATGCTATTGAATGAAAGAGAAACTAAGCCAGTTTACATTGTATTAGGAATAAGTTCAAAATACAGTTATTTTCAGAAGAACAACTTTAGGCAACTGAACACCCTTATGCAGAATATAAAGAATGATTTTAAGAGTTCCGAGGATGGCCTCCTATCCTGAGCAGACACAATCAGCAAGCCAGCTGTCTAGAGTTGGGAGTGCAATGCTCAAAGAGGTGACCCTGTTAGGGCCCCAGGAACCTTATGTCATCCCTGCAGGAGGAAGGAGGTGTGAGGAGTGAAGAGTACCCAACCCTGGAGGCCTGAGAAATGGGGATTCTTGGCCAGCACCTTGGGATGCCTCACTCCCAGTCATACCACCTATCCATGGGGACAAAGGGGGAAATGGGAAGCTGGTTCTTGTACCTTGGGTTTTCCCTGAAGCACAGCTGGAGATGCATATTGTAAGGAGTTTGTTTGAGAGGTGATCTCAGGAAGCAACAATCCAGAAGTCAGAAGGACTGGACAGGAAAGGGAGGGCAGACAATGGAGGGCATGCTATCGAGCACACTTTCACTGTGGGCAGCTTGAGCACAATCTCACGGGGAAACTGAGGATAAGAGCTCTTCACAGGTCTCAGAGTCATCCCACTTGAGGGGTCAAGCAGCTTCAAGGAGCATTAATTGTCTGATTAGGGCAAAGCAGCCTTCCCAGTGTACAGAGAAAATCATCAAGCAAAGTGGCGGGGAAGACTTATCAGTTGGAAGTCAGGCAGTGGGCTTGGAGGAGAAGAGGCCCAGGGCTGCAGGCTGGGCACCATCGGCATCTGCTATGACTGATAACAATCTCCCAATAATGCAGGCTGCCTTTTTCCAAGGCCACTTCTAGGAGGTAGGAAAAGTGGGAGTAGATACTTGTTCTGCAGGCCCCTCCCCAGCTCCCCAGCCCTTGGTCCTGCAGCTGCTGGGTTGGCTAAGGGATTAGACTTGAAAAGACAAGTTAGATACCATGGTCTCTGTGTTGTCAATAGACAAAAAGGATGGGGTGGGGTGTGAGAGCAAAACTGAAGAGCCCGTGATTCTGGACTAACTAAGTCTATCAATGAGTAACTCTAGCAAGTTAAACAATTAGATCTCATGTTCCTCACCTATAAAACGAGAGTTGGCTAGCTTTCCAAGATTCTTTCTTGACTCAACTCAACAAGTAACAAATATATCGTGCTCAGAATAGGAGAACACTAACTTTGAGACTTCTCAGAAACTCTTTGGGCTGCTAACTCACTTCTCTCCGCCTTCCAGGAGATAGACAGATTCCTGCTCCCCTTGGAGCCCATTGTAGCTCTGTGCCTTTAACAAAAAGTATGAAGTTCCCAACCTCTTGGTGAGGTATCAACACACAAAAATTGTGTCTAGAACCTTTATCTGCATATAGGCCACACTGAAATGCCTTACTTTGTTTTTTTTTCCCAAAAAAACATTCTCACTGAACATTCTAAAAGCTGAGAGGTACCCTGCCCTGGGTGTACCTGTGCTGGGATGTAGAGAGGGTTGTTGTGGGAGGAAAGCAGGCACAGTAAATTGGAAGTAACACTTTAAAAAATTTGTAATTAAACCCAAAGCAACATACCCATAACTTACCAATATACACGTCTCCAGATATGGTATAAATAAAGCTTGTCCACCCTGAAAAAGGAACAGCAACATTAACATGTTAGTGTCTATAACACCAAAAGGAATGAATATTTCATATGTATTTGTATATATGTATGTGTACATATATACGTGTAAATATATATATGTGTGTATGTGTTTGTGTATATATATATATATATATAAATTTGGAAGTAAAATATAATAATAATTTCTTTTAGAAATATATTTTAGGGAACCAGCAGTTAGCGTAATGGCTATGTTTATGTTGCTGGACTCCCACGTAGTCGACCGCGGTTCGCATCCCAGACCCGGTGGCTTAAATCTCACACCGGGCGCGTGTGCGTGCGTGCCCAAGATCCCAAGAGGAGAATGGAGGAGAAGGGATTGCGGCGTGACCATCCCCTCTGGGGGGTGATTTCTCGCTTTCTAGCTCTATGTCTCTCTCTGTCTGTCTGGCGAGCGCACGCGCTCTATAGCGAAAACCTCTCCAAAAAAAAAACCAAACAGAAATATATTTTAATATTTGGTGTAATCGTTACGTCATTGGAGGATCTCTGTCTTTCTGGCAAGCACACATGTCCTATAGCAAAAATCTCTCTTAAGTTCTATCAGTTATTTAGAATACACATTCACACTTATGCTTACACATGTTTTCTCTCTCTCTTACACACACACACACACACACACACACACATACACACACGTACATCCTTAAATATAAATGATCTGGCCCCAAATGTTTAAAAGCCACTCAAAGTAGATAGTGTACACTTCACTTGGCTGTATGTCTATTTGCCAAAAGTTATATCAACAAACTGTTCTTTCCAGTTCTAACATCATTCCTATTAACTGCAACACTCCAGTCTGGCTTTCTCGTCAGTTCATTGTGCCTCTAGGTAGTTCAAACTATGAAAATAATGCTAGAAATATGCTTTTTTGTACTTACAGTTTAGTTCCCAGTGAACACATTCCTTTTTATCTACCCTAAAGTAGAGCATGCATCAGCTTCAGGAATGCAGGGATACATAATCTTTGGGGAATGAATGGGCTTCAGATGGCCTATGAACTCCCCAAAATTGTTCACATGACTCTCAGATGTGTACACTTTTCTAGAAAGAGGGCATGTAGCATTCACTAAATTCCTATGTGACCCGCGGAAGCCAGGAATTCACCAACAATTCACCATTTGCACTCTCAGCACCAGCACTTGCTTTTCATGGATAGTTATGTCCTGCACCCATGTCTTAGGAGAGACAGTCTGTTTCCACTGAGAGAAATCAATCTAGAAATGGCAAATTCAAATGGAAGTAGAACATTACTCCATGCGCCGTCAGTGAAAAAGGCGATCTAAAGAGGGAATGCAAGGTGGAATCCAAGGCCAGAAGGCCCAGACTGGAGTCTGGGTGGGAGTGAAGGTGGTGAGAGAGCAAACAATGGACAGTGCAGAGAGAGCAAGGACAAAATGCACTCTAAGGCTATCATTGTGATTGCAGATGGGTTGAAACACACAAGGTGGCACAAAAGAAAACCTATAATTGGTCAAACACATAAATGAAATCTAAAAGACAACAAGATAAATATTTGTGGGTGGATACCAGAAGGCATTTTTCCATTCTCCTATTTCAGGTATTCCTTTCTGAGATTTTCCTAGTTAATAGAGAGAAGTCCTCTAGAAGTAATGCTATTTATTTATAGCTCACTCCTTCTTCTCCTTTATCAGCCCACTCAATCTGTCTTCCATGCTTGGCCTACCATTATTTTTTGGACATCTCTCATGGACAGGAGTGGGTGTGGGGGAGACACAAAGGTGAATAAAGGACAACCTTGGGGAGGGAGGTTTGTGGCTGATGCTGAAAATACATGCAAACAATTTATAACTCTATTCCACATGTCTCACTAGGCCCTACTAGAGCACTTCTTTCTGTTTTCTAATGGATGCTGAGCTTCCTTCCCTGTGTCTCTATACAGTCAGACTACAAGAAAACCCTTTTCATCTCTGATTTTAAAGAAGAATTACCATTGACAACTGTAGGGATTTCTTTTTTGTCAGAGCATGGGTGCACTCACTAGAGAGAGAAAGAAAAACAGAGAGAAAGTACCCCCTAATGGGGTGGGGTCACACTGCAATCTCTTTTCCTCCATTTCTCCATCCTGTTGGGATGTGGGGCAAGCACATGCACAAACAAGCACTCAGTTGGTTTTGCAAGCTGCTGAGGTCAGGGTTCTAACGATGTAGTCAGCCTTGTGGGATCCAGCTCTCTTATCCACCAGGCCACAAAGCTGGCCCGAAATTTCTTTTTCAAATTTCAAATGGCTTTTTCCTGATTATAAAACAAAACAAAACATTGATTTAAAAATATTTTAATAATGGGAAAGTGCAGAACATCTAAATAAAAATATTTCTGCTATCTTCATATCTACCCTGATATAAAGACTGTTAGCAATTTGGTATTTGTAACTTGAGGGTTTTTTTTTTAAATTTTTTTATGCAATACATTAATTTGTTTAAAAACTAGAACAAACCAAGTGTTTCCTATTTGGGATACTTTTCTTTCTTTCTTTCTTTCTTTTGGAGAGGTTTTTTCTATAGGGCATGTGCACTCGCCAGAAAGACAGAGAGAGCCAGAGAGACAGAAAGTGAGAAATCACCCTCCCCCCCACAAGGAAGGATGGCCACACTGCAATCCTTTCTCCTCCATTCTCCTCTCGGGATCTTGGGCACGCTCACACATGCACCCAGCATGAATTTAAGCCACCGGGTCCAGGACTCAAACCATGGTCGACTACATAGGAGTCCAGTGACATAGCCATTATGCTAACTGCTGGTTCCTTGGGATACTTTTCTATGTCAAAACAAAGAGAA